ACTCGTCGCCGGGGACTTTAACGCTAAGTCCCCGGTATGGGGATCCGCTTCGGCGGACCGGCATGGCGACGAACTGTTGGACGTCATGGCGGCCTTAGGGCTGTCGACGGCCAACAGGGGAACCACCCCGACGTTCGTGGGAAACACCTCGAGCTCGGTGGTGGACATCACGCTGGCGTCGCCGTCGGTCCTCGGACGTATTGCCGGTTGGTCCGTTCTCTCCCACTTGGAGAACATGAGCGACCACCGGTACATCACGTTCGAGTGCACCGACGGCAGGCGTCCTCGGACGAGGCCGGACATGCAGCCTCGCGGCGCTCGCGTCGGCTGGAAAGTCGGCCCGGAGTCAGACGCCGATCTATTTGCGGCCGGTCTACTGATCGCCCGATGGACGGCGCCCACTCCGCCCGATCGACTGGTCTCCGCGGGCGAGGTGGCGGAAGAGCTGGACAGGAGAGTCGAAGTCGCTTGCGACTTTGCACTCCCCAGAAAGCGTCCGCCACCTACCCGGGGACCTCCCGTTCACTGGTGGAACGAGGAGGTGTCTGCCCTGAGAAGCGACTGCGTCAGGGCGAGGAGAGCCCTGACGCGGTCCAACAGGCGTGGGCAGGCAGAACCCGATCCGGATAATCCGGATCCCAGGGAGTTGCTGAGGGAGGCCCGGAAACGGCTGAAGCTCGCCATCAGGCGTAGCAAAGCTCGTTGCTGGGCCGACCTCGTGAAGTCGGTGGATCACGACCCTTGGGGGAAACCCTATAGGGTCGTGATGCGCAAGCTGCGCGGCCCACCGACTTCGGGGCAACTGGAGGCGGAGACGTTGGAACAGACGGTCCACGCGCTGTTCCCGACACATCCGCCTCTCCCACCCCTGGGAGACTGGCCGTCCGTCGAAGACGACGCGACCGTCGAGGATTTCACCCTGGAGGAGATATCCGCTGCGGTAGCGAGAGTTCGGGGAAGAAACACCGCGCCCGGTCCGGACAGCATACCGAACCGGGTGTGGGGTCTCGTCCACGACCTCGCACCGCAGTGGTTAGACACTGTCTTGAACGTGTGTCTCCAAAAGGGTGAAATCCCGCCCCGGTGGAAGAGGGCGAGGTTGGTGCTCTTGCGGAAAGGTGACTAGCCCGAGGGAGTCCTCTCGTCGTACCGGCCTCTTTGTATGCTGGACGACGTGGGGAAAATCCTCGAGCGGCTGTTGGCCACCCGCATATAGCACCACCTGACGACGGTCGGTGGGCTGGCGGACGGCCAGTTCGGGTTCAGGAAAGGGAGGTCGAAGGACGACGCGGCCTCCCTCTTCCAGCAGCTGGCCGTCAGGGCCGAGAACGGACCGGGCTTCTGTGTTGTGGTGAGCCTGGACATCCGGAACGCTTTCAACTCCGTGCGATGGTCACACATCCTCGGAGCGTTGGAAGCTCGTTTGAGCTGTTAGTTTACGGTTGGCGATTTTTGGTTAATTAAAATTTACATATATAATCATAGTGAATCATCCGAGGCCCCGTAATCGGAATGAATACACTTTATATCTCTTAATGAGAATAGAGTGTGTTAATATATAAATTTTAATAGTACTTAGTATATATAGAAAAGCGACTTAAGTACGAAAATGTATCATACACGATGTATAGCCGTTTTTTGTGGGCGGGCGGTTTGCGGGTAAACGCTATACGTAAGAAATATACGGTGGCATCGGCGGTAGGGATATATAAATGAATATATGACTTAAATACAGAAATGTATCATACACGAGGTATAGCCGTATTTTGTGGGCCTAGGATGAGCCCCGTATCGTCATTTTTCGTTACTACCTCCACGTGGCGGCAGTGGGTAATTTGCGTGCCTGTAGCCTGCCTTCCATGGTGTGGTAGCTATTTCTCAGACTCCCTCTCCGGAATCGAACCCTAATTCCCCGTTACAACGTAATTAATAATACAAACGGTTTTATGGGACCCGGTTGTTAATTACTATATCGAACGCTTTGATATAGAGTGTATTATATACTACTTGTCTATGGCTGTCTATTGTTGCAATTTTAATGTGTATCAGCGGCAGCGCCTTGCGCACGATAAAGATTTATAGGCAAACAATTGCTTAATCTACCTGTTATACATTAAAAAAATAATTAACGAAGTGGAAATATACAACTGCTGCGCTATTGACAATTTATTATAACCGGGTGGAGAATTCATTGCTGTCGAACTGTGTGATTGAAATAACTCGCAGAAGAGGGAATGTGAAGGAAACCTCGCTGTTTTATTTGAAAAATAAAATTTAAAAAAACTAATATATGCATGTTAATAAAAAATAAGCGTGTTAAAATCAAGTCAGCAAATGGTTTCCTTACCTAGATCCAATGTAAGATCAGTTAAGATCTATACTGGGGAACCAGTTGACACTACTTACGTCGCAAAAATATGGTCGACACTGGTTTTGAGGGTAGAGACCCTTGGGCCGTTTATTAATGAGAAACAACAGGTTATTTCAACAAAAAATAAAACAAACCGAAAAGATGAACACAATAATAATAATCTTCGCATAATATCGTGGCACTTTCGCTGGCGTCGATGACGCGATGTCCGGCGTGATCCTTGGGCCACAAAAAGTTAGCAGCGTTGTAGGCGACGGTGCGCGGGTGCGGATCGGTTGGTCGACGTTGTCGCTTTCACAACGGGAAGAAGACTCCCGTATCATTTGCAGCGGATCATCGTCGGGCGTGCGGCACTTGCTGAACTTTGCGCCGCGGCGTATAACGCGCGGTGTTGGTCAGTCAAATATTCATAGTAGGACGACGGCTAAAGGTGGCAGCGACGTGAAGCTTTGTCAGTCATAATAAAAATTTGTTATATATATACATGTACGTATAATTTATGACACGCACGTGTATACGGGTACGAAAACCAAAAATAAAATTACACAGGAAAATATTGTTGTCGGCGAGCGGTGAGCGGGGTGGAGTGAATGAATTACGACAGTCTAGTCTCAAGGCCATAGACGACGGGATACACGAGAATAATAACATGGGGCGCGTGTTATTATTAACAAACATACATGTGAAACTAATATAAGCGTGTTAAAATGTGTACTCTAAAGTAAAGTGAACTCTTAAGTTTTATGATATTACATTGCAAAGAGGTTCATGTTTTATACATCTAATCGTGAATAATAATGAATAAGCGCATTTATTATCAAATCTCCTAACAAAAAATATCTTATAATTACATGATATTAATGATAGAATCGCCCAAATTAATAATTGTTATCAATTTTAACACGGCANCGCCCAAATTAATAATTGTTATCAATTTTAACACGGCAAACTATCGAACACTTGTAGTTAACATACGAAAATGTTTGTAACATTTTGTAAGAATGGTTTGATATAATCATTTCTGTAAAAAACACGTTCAAACGTTAATAATTTTCATAGAAAAAAAATCGCGTATAGTCACTAGCAAATAACGTGATAAAATAGTGTTTACTTCTGTCCTTTAAATAACATAGACTAACGTTTGATACCATAGAAAAATCGTAAAAAAAATTCAAAATTTAACAAATTTCAAAATGCTATAGAATTGTAACGACTGAAATAAAATAAGAATTTTAGGTATCAAAATTTTTCTTTGAAATTTATTTATAAAATGGCTATTTAAAAAAAACATTTTAATAAAAAAATTATTTTTTGTAATTCCGAAAAACATTATAAAAAATTTATTAAATAAAGTCCTATAGTGAAAACGTCGATGAATTAAAAAAAAGTGAAAATTTATAAGTTATATATATCATAAGTTATAAGAGTTGTATGTTAGATCTGTTCCACTCTATATAATTTGATAAGAAATCAGCGAAGAAATAGACTATACCAAACGCCACAACTAGGGTCGTGTAGCTTAATGGTTAATTGGTTACTTTTTGTTAATAGTTTGTAAAAAATATATATGTTTCATTATTATATTTTTAAATTGTGAACTCCTATTTTGATTGTTATGTAACATAAAAAGGTTTACAAGCATCATTATTTATCTTATAACATAAAATTATAATCTTCTGAGTAAAAGTTACTGTGCAGCGCTGTCCAACGTATTTTCTTGTAACTGAATAAACGGAAATGAAGCTGTACCATGACGCTACACAATAGATTTTTTTTTATTTATTTATTCATGCTAAAGTTATAAACTTACTACAATAGTAACTGGTTTTTTTTTTTAAATATACAAGTGCGATTTAGAACAAATACATATTTTCATTTAAATTATATTTGAAAATGTTGTCATTATTTGATTAATTTTTTATATTCAAATATGCCTACTTTAAAAATCGGAAAACAGCGAAAATTTATTAAATCCAAGAAAATAATCTTATTATTAAGGTATACTTAACACCATACACTAATTATAAATTTTGAAAAACATTTTAGTAATAAATAGTACGCTTGATTGAATTTTAAAATGATAATCTGCAATTTTTTTAAACAAATAGTATATTTACTCTATATTTTATTTCAATTGAAATGAGTACATAATGTTAACTTGCGATGATCTATGAACAATTTTTATAAGTGTATAACTCATTTATCATGTCAAATAAATTTGATTAATTTAAAATAGTTACAAATTAAATATATATTTTTTAAAAATAAATTTTTGTTTTACAATTTTTTACATATTTAAAATGGAATGAATTGTTCTTTCAAACGGAATTAATATTATAATAACAATAATTTATCGCGTTAACATGATAATATTGATATTTTATTGTCAGTATTAGACTTTCATTACTGTTGCAAATATAATCATCAATAAAAATGGGTTTCTATTTTTATTCTGGAATATTCCTTTTTTTTATGTGCGTGATTACTTTACCTATATTTTCAACTGGAATTCCCTGCTCCGTCAAAGAAACTAGTAATAATGAATCAAATCAAGTATTTATAAAAATAATTATTATCTTTTTTATACATTTTTTACTATTATTTAGTGGCTAAGGTACCTTCATTTATACAAATATTTGTATAAAAGAAGCTAAATTTTTTAAAGTTTTTTAAAGCATAAAATTTCATAAAGACTTTAGTAGGTTAGTGGGGGTAAAAAAAGTGCTATATTTAATGAAGACTAGTGTTTTATTATTACAATAAATCCTAAAACTTTAAAAAAAGGAAACAGAAAAATATATAATAAAAAAATTAATTATCTTAAAATTGAAATCAGTACAAACGAAACTTAAAACGTTTTCGTAGGAACTTTTTCTTCTATTAACGAATTTTTTTGGTTATCATTTACACTTATAAATATCACTCTTGTTCTTTCGCCTTAATAGTTTCTCTAACTCTCCTTTTTTTTTAAAACCACTCATTAATTGCTGGACGAGGATTCCATTCGGTTAATGGAGGAAGATTAAAATAAATATATAGATATTCATTCTCGCTTTCATTATTACTTTATTTCATTATTTAACTTAAAAAGTAATAAATAGTTAATAATTCAAGAATAATGTGTTACTATAGATAACCAAAAAAAAAATTGTTTAAATTATATTTATTCTGTAAGTAATTGAGTGGGTTATGATAAAAAAATCACCTGTACAATAAGTTCATATAAATCATGTGAAATAAGCTTTGAGCAGTGGCGATCTCGTAACCAATGAGGTCCATGCGAGTTGCAATTATTGCTAGTTGAAATATCATGTGAAAATTAGATCAGTAAAATCTTAAATACAACTTTGTCTTAGTATACAATTTTATTTAGTTAAATATGTTAGATATTCAATAAATTACACTTTTAAATATCTATCAACTTTTAAATTAATCATATTAACAAATAAAATAAACGTTTTGTAGAATGATGGTCCAGAAAAAGTTTCTGATACATCTGATTCTTCTGATGAGGTGAGTTGTTACAGATATTATAAAGAAAATTCTACAATGGAATTATTTAACCAACACATTGTATAAAAGTTAATTAAAAAGTTAAATTTGTATGATTCACTTTAAATATCTCATGATTATTTGGATTAAAGTAGTAAGAAATAAAGATAAGAGTAAGATTTAAAAAATGAAAATAAAGCATAACATTTTTGAAAAAAAAAAAATTAGTTATTTTATCATATTGTTAAAAATATTGTGTAAGGCATAGTAAGTGAGGCCTTTTTACTACTCATGGGTAATCCAAGGTACATAAAATTATAAGTGCACTAACGACAATATTCATAATAATAAAGAAATGAAATTTAAATAATATTGATGGTAAACATATATACCATAAATACTATTAACAATGAACTTACAAAGCAGTTTTATAGTAACAATATGTGTTTGTTGACTATTTCTCTTAAATGTTTATTTAAATTTTTTGTTTAATAATGAATTATTTCCTTCTAAGAATATGAATATTATGTATAAATAACCTATGCTATGATAGTGAGAGTATTATGACAGATGAGGTGTGGTGTTACAGATATTATAAGGAAAAATTGTTTTAATTTAATTTTTAAACTGGTATTATTTGACTTACACATTGTATAAAATTTGTATGATTCACTTAAAAATCTCATGATGATATGGACTTAAGGACTAAGAAATAATTAATAGAGAAAAATTAATTCCTACGTGAAGGATAATAAACATTATTATAATTGCTGATATTTTTTTTTTAAGTAAATTTTAAAAGTAAAAAGAAAATTAGTTAGGATGCTTTGAAAATGTCATTTCATGAAATTAATTTCAATTATACAATTTTTTATAGTTAAATATGTTTGATATGAAATTAATTATAGTTCTGAATATCTATGAATTTTTAAAGTAGTAATATTAACAACTAAAATGATTGTTTTTTAGAATGATGGACCATCAGAAAGTATAGTACGTGATATCTTAAATGTTTCAAATGAGGTAAGGTGTTGGACTTACTTTAAAGAAATTTTTTTTTAATTTTATTCAATATACAATTTTTAAAAAAGTATATGTAAATTTTAAGTATATAAATAGAATAGCGTTGATTTCTAACAACTTTGAAACATATATTTTTGTAGATATTAACATTTCAAAATTATGGCTGAAGATAACGTGTAGGTCTTTTTATTTTTTGACTAGTCATTTATACCTTACTACTCCTACCTACAAATAAAATTGATAATATTTCTAAAATAATGGTAAAAAGTTGTTATTAACCAGTCAATTTCTTTGTTTGGTCATTTCCAATATTAAAACTAATTAAATTATGTTTATTAAAAGTTTCAATTTAAAATACACAAGTTGATAATGATTTGAAAAGTAAATAGAGGAGATAGGGTACGATTTAAAAAAAGCAGTAATGCTTATTTCAGTTAATACAATTAAACATTTTTGAAATAAAGTGTCTGGAGTTATTTTTATTTAAAAAAAAAATATAATCAAATATTTTGGTCCAGTTGGTTCTGAGCAAATTTAGATAAGATACAAAAATACATATAACGGTAAAATAAATAACTATTTAGATTTGTATAGAGGTTAATAGATATCATAGCTATCATCAGCTACCAAAAATTTTTGATTTTTCCAACATCAAAGGTAATACCGTACAATAATGATTACTGTCGTATGCATTATATGAAAAAAATTACACTACAAATTTATTCTTTACTATGTTACGAACCCGCATTATTATGGTATTAGTGTAGTGGCGTTAGTGAGTAATTAATAGTGGACAACGGATAGTTTCAATTAAGCATTAATTAATCGTGTTGGAACCATCGTATAATTAATATTGTGTTATAACAAGTAAGTGATCACCTTAAGACGATTAATGCTATATCTTATAAATAACTGTATTTTCTAAAATTAAAAAGACTATTGTATTTTTTTGTTTAATTTAAGTGTACTTTTATTTCACATTACTAACGACATTCCACTCCAACCCGTTACCGTGTCTCATTCTAGGTAGGACACAACAACTATGGAATCGGTTCAATACTTTTTTTCTTGACACATATGTTTTTAATTGTCATTAAAAACATTTTAGTTGTCTTATTGAAAACTAACAATTTATTATTTAATAAATGTAATAATTGACACGTATAAATAAAACTATGAACCATTAACCTCACTCGACTTCTACTCAAGGTATGCAGATTGTTCCAATTATAACCTTTTTTTATTTTAATAATTTTTTTTTTACATCCTTCTAATTTTCAATTTCATTAATATATTAAAATTATAAAATAAATCGAAAACCGAATTTTACTGTGTCAATTTTATTTTAATTTAGGATTTATTTTTATTATGTTTATTGCATATTTCATTTGTTAAATTGTTCTTTTTTATTATTTATAAAGTAAACTGAATTTGGGTAAAAGTCGAAACTAATAGTTAGAATTTATTCAAATTTATACAATACATTTAGTTAGAGTTATTTTAACTCTAATATTGTATATTAATTTTTTAATGTATACATTCATGGTCCTCATAAGGAAAAAGTTTTTAAGTTTTTAACACGCTTATATTAGTTTCACATGTATGTGTGTTGTTTATAACTTTCCACCCGGCACGTGTTATTATTCTCGCGTATGACCTTGAGACTAGACGTCGTAACGCATTCAAGATACAAAGTTTAAAATTTTTTTTAACATAGAGTGCAAAAGAATGGTATAATTCAAGTTTAAGAAAATTATCAATAAACAAATGGTTAGATTGGGCAGGGTCCTTTTTACAAGTGTATGCTGATAAAAGTTGGGCAAATGTCAGATTTGCATATAACTTTAAATATTTAAATAGATCATTAATTGACTATGCTCTAAAAAAAGAACGTTTAATACTAGAAATTAAGAGTTCTATGTCAAATACATCTAGAATAAATTTGATTGTTATGGGCTTACCGCTAAATGTACAAGATAAACTGGATAAGGAGGAGATAACTAGTACAGATTTATTAATGAATAAAATAAGAATGTATGATCCAGAAAAAAACCAATATAAAAAAGATGATAAGATGAAATCTAATTATAATAATAATAATGTAATTATAAAGGGAAAGAGTAATGTTGACAAGAAGTATAATGTAGCACCAAAAGGATTTTCTGAAAAAAAGCCTTGTTATATGTGTGAGGCTCTATATAAACCTAATCGTTATCATCCACTTCAACTTTGTCGGAACAAGCTACAATATTTGGAAAAAAAAAATGTTAATGCATCCGAAGTCAATCAAACTGAAATTGATGATCTATTGGACATTGAACTAAAGAACCAAAAAAACTAAATCGCCCGGAAAAATTTACACCGCTTATAACATTAAACGTATTAATTAATAAATCAAAAAAAGTAAAAGATATCTATGATAGTGGTTCAAATATTACACTTGTTAATCACAAGATTATAAACCAATTAAAAACAAAATTTTTTGAAAATCATAGTTTGTTTAAAACAATAAGTGGAGTAAATTTTACCAATAGCCGGGCACGTTTGTATTTAAAAATTAATAAAATTGAAAAAGTTTTAGATGTATATGTTATAAAAAACAATAATTTTTCATATGATTTATTACTTGGTCTAGATGCTATTAAAATATTTAAATTGTCACAGGATGAAAATTTAAATATTTTTCAAAAAATAAATGAAAAAGAAAGTGAATTAGTAAATTGTCAAGAAAAACAAAAGAATGATCTACAATTAAATTTGAATGATTATATTGATGTTAGTATTTTTGAAACTAATTTACAACATTTAAATGAGAAAGATAAAATAATAATAATGAACCTTATTAATAAATATAAAGTAATTTTTGCTAAGAATAAATATGACGTAGGTAGAGTTAAATGTGAAGAAGCACAAATTAAATTAACAAAAGATAATCATATTTCAAAAAAACCATACAGATGTTCAATACCTGATCAAAAAGGAATAGAATCGCAAATTACAAATTTATTAGAAGCGGGTCTTATTGAAGAAACTAATTCGCCTTTTGCAGCCCCAGTTACACTAGTGTACAAATAAATATAGTTTAAAAAACTAAAAAAACACGCTTTTAAAGCACAT